TTAAATCTCTTTTCCTGACCGCCAACATTCTGTTTTCCGTTCTTAAGTTCAGAGTAGAGCAACTGCTTTGAGAGACGGTGGTCGGGCATCTGGACAACGTGGCCAATCCAGTGGAATTGATGGCAGAGAACCATCGCTTCAATGCTGGTGGTCTTTGCTTCTTCCAGCATGCTGATGTTTGTCTGCCTGTCTTCCCAAGAGATTTGCAGGATTTTCCGGAGGCAGCACTGATGGAATTATTCCAGGAGTTGACATCTGTGGAAGACAATAGCTTTATAAACATGCACCTTGGTATCCCTATGGATGTCCCAGTCCCTATCCACCAAGACAAACTTAAAAGGATGAGCCTTATGTATATTTACAGAACTGCCTTTAGCATTTTCCAGAAGTTACACTTATTCGGTTTCTGGGAAATTGCATCCATTTTTACAACTATTTTCATGCTGGCATAATATGCCACAAAAACACACACCTGTCTCACATTGTAATGCAAATGCAGCTTGCAAATGGTGCTCCTTTTCGCATGCATACAGCCAGAGCCACACAGGCACAAAATACTATGGTAGGAGGCAGGCATGGATAACTCATACACTCTTCAAGTGAGTGGGGTCGAAATTTAAAGATCCAAGGACCACAGTTACCAAGAGTCCATGCCCAGTAAACTCAGCTTATTGCCAAAGTTGCCGGATAAAGTAAGACTCCCTAGCATTGGGTCCAGTCCTGTTCAATATCTTTATTAATGACTTAGATGAAGGGTTAGAAGGCATGATCATCATCATTTATCAGATCAGGCAGATCAGCAAGTTCTGAGTTTCACTTAAGGTGGATAGCAACTGTTTAACAGTGTACTGCAATGGTCTATGTTGAATGTACATCTACTTGGAAGCTTTAGTTTCCTTTTTGTTTAATAATTTTTTATTAAAGTGTCATATAGCTATGATAAAAATAGTGAAGTAGTAGGTATAGAGAGTAGAAAAGTGGGGGAAAGAGAAAAAAGTAGGGAAAAGGGAAAAATAAAAATAAAAATTGAAAAATAAGCTTTAGTTTTTGAAAACTATAATGCTGCTGCCATCTCCTGGAAGCATCTTCACTGTTGGCCCAGTCATACATGCATGTGCATGAAACAAGGTGGGAGAAGTTCAGCCACATACACCGGCCAAGCTGTCTTGCAAATTCCAGTAATCCTCCCACACAGACACACACTTTGCCCTGTACTTGAAAAAAAAAGGGGATGAATTGCCCAACTCTGGAAGCCTCTTTTGAATAGATTTGTGTGTCCATGCATGTGGGCCTTACATACAGAAAATTAAAAACAAAAGAAACAATTAAAAACAAAAGAAAGGAAGAAACCATGAAAATGAACAAAATCTGGCTACCAGTATTAAAATAAACTAAATTTACAACAGCACAACAAAAGAGAGGAAACAAACAAGGACATCTAATCACCTCTCGACAAAAGTTTGCTCTAGGCAATGCCAAGCCATTATATGCTAATCAAGGTGATCAGTTGAAACATTCACACCTAGCTCCAGCAGACAAGAGTTCTTTGTCTCACCCTGGTCAGTCCACAGATATATAAACCCTTTTTCCTAGTTCCAACAGACCTCACTACCTCTGAAGATGCTTGCCATAGATACAGGCGAAACGTCAGGAGAGAATGCCTCTAGACCATGACCACATAGCCCGAAAAAACCTACAACCCAAAAGAAACAATGTTTTTAAACCAGAAATGATCAACTTGATCATTCAGCCACTTGTAGGTTTTCTTACTGGAATGAGAGATTTTGCAGTCTTATAATGCTCTAGAATCGAATATTAAAAACACTAAACACTAAATAATAAAATTTATTTTTAAAAAGACACAATTTCTTGAGATGAAAAAAGCCTGTTGTGAAGGCAAAACTAATACATGTTCTAAATTCATTATTCTAGAGCAGGGATCCCCAAACTTTTTAAGCCAAGGGCTAGTTCATAGTCCCTCAGACTATTGGGGGGACAGACTATGAAATAACAATACAATATTTAAAATGAAGAACCATTCTAACCAACATAAATTTACCAGTATTTCAGTGGGGAGTATGGGCCTGTTTTTGCCTGATGAGATAGTCAAATGAATTTGGATTGTTCTTGTTGTGTGCCTTCGTCATTTCAAACATAGGGTGATCTTAGGACAGCGGCTGGGTAAATGACCTTGGAGGGCTGCATCCAGCCCGCAGGCCTTAGTTTGGGGACCCCTGTTCTAGAGTGAAAAGTGTATGCAGATATTAGAAAGATTGATCATAGGATCATTTGGGAAGAGCTGTAATACTACGTCTTTATTTTTTGTGACACAGACACATGATTACTGTAGTAATGCTGCTCCTAATAGTTCTCCCACATCTGACAGTACATCCTTTATCTACTAGGTTACTGCAGGGAAAACCAACACTTCTTGTGGATACATGGATTTGCTTTGTTTTCACAAGGATTAGGCAACTGCTGTGGTTTAAAGGGCAGCACTGGGTCTCGGCAATGTTTATAGAAAAGCCCTTAATTAGTTGTGTTATTCAGATTGAGGCTGGGAAGAAAATAAAAATAAAAATCCAGGAATTTTCACTGCATTCATTTCAGGCCTCAATCAATAAAGAAGTTGGCTACTCCATAAAATATGCTGCAGAAAAAATACTGATTCTTGTTAATGTTTACACTTCCAAAGAGTAAAAACATTAGACAGGATACCTGGAACCTGAATATTGCAGGAAGAGACAGTGAGAACTGTCTGAAAAGTTGGCCTAGAAATCAGAAGAAGGTGAAAGTGTGAGAGACACCCGCTGTTATAATTAATGGCATCATAAAATGTGCCACTAGTTCTAGTATCTCACCATTTCACATTTTAGTTCAAGCATCAAATTCAGACACTAAAACCAAGGCAATAGAGAAGCAACACTATATTTTAATCAATTTCCATAATCTCTGGATTCTTCTCCTGAATCTTCATAGTTTTCATTTTCATCTCCAGAAGCATCTTTGTCACCATGATTTGACTGAACATCTCTATCTCCATCTCCATCTCCATCCCCATCTTCATCTCCATCCACATCCCCATCTTCATCTTCATCTTCATCTCCATCTCCATCTTCATCCCCATCCCCATCTTCATCTCCATCCACATCCCCATCTCCATCCACATCCCCATCTCCATCCACATCCCCATCTTCATCTCTATCCACATCCCCATCTCCATCTTCATCCACATGCCCATCTTCATCTCCATCATTTCCTCCATCTTCCTCCTCCTCCTCTTCCTCATCTCTTTCCTCTTTATAAGACTGAATGGATTCAGTTTCAGACTTCTCTTCTGCTTCCTGTGATTCTTTATCTTGCATTTTCTCTTCATGATCACTACAGGGGGAATGGGAGATGGAAGAAGGATAGTTCATTTCTTTAAAACTATTACAAAGTAAATGCTAAAATATATGATGGACATAATATTTTACACCCATCAACTCATACCATTTTTGTTGTCATTCATTAAGAATTCACATGCAAGCATTGTTAAATGTCACTTCACATAATACAATATGTTGGGTTTTGCAGGTAAAGAAAAAACCTTGATACCAGAAGCGACACTTTCATTTAGCCTTGGAGAACTAAAATCACCCAATAACTGAGGACCTGTAAGATTATGGCCATTTCACTGGCATGGCATCGAGCTGCCTACCTCTTTAGCAGCGAGACAGGAGCCATTTCTAGATTTTTTTCCCCAGTCCAGAGTTACCAGGGCTGACAAAAAATGTCCCCTTGCTAAGTGGGACTTAAAAGGAACTCCCAGGAATCCAAACTGTGTCACTGGAATGTGTTGCAGTGAGATATGGTGGGATGGAAGGAAGTAGGAACAGAAAACCCAGTTCTAAAAGAGATTTACATGAAGAAAAGTAACTTAAGAGAATTTCCTAGCTGAAAGGCATATGCATCTACACTGCTAAGATCTGCAAAAGACTTCTTGATAGCAAGATGTGAGAAAATCGCTTATATGACAAAAGAAAAAGTGTTTGGGAGATAATTTAACAATGAAAAAACATCACGGAAGGAGTGAATAATAATGGTATCCCCTCAAGTCTGCTTGGGTGAGACCTCACCTGGAAAACTGTATCCAGTTCAACACCATAATTCAAGAGAGATGCTGGAATGTGTTCAGAGGAGGGTGACTAAAATGATCAAAGATTTGGTAGCCAAGCCCTATGAGATGTGGCTGAAGGAGATGTTCAAATGTTTGAAAGGATGTCACATTCAGGAGGGGGCAAGCTTGTTTTCTGGTGGTCCTGAGCCTAGGACATGGAGAAATGGATTCAACTTGAAGGGAAAAGAGATTCCACTTGAATATGAGGAAGAACCTAGTGATAGAAAGAGTGGTTCAGAAGTAGGATATGCTGCCTTGGAGTGTGGTGGAGTCTCCTTCTCTGGAGGTTTTGAAGCAGAGGCTGGATGATTATTTGTTGGGAGTGTTTTGTGTGTTCTCCATGGCAGGATGGTGTTGGACCTTGTGATCTCTTCCAACGTTATGATACTTTGATTTAAAATGCTTAAAAGATTTATTAGTCTTAGAGATTGAAAAAGAATTGAAAGCCTGAGAGATATGGCTGTATTTATTTACTGAGAAATAAGTTCAAGGACACAGTTGGCCACATGAAGAGGATGTGAGTGAAGAGGAACAACCTCAGGCTGAGTTTTACTAATTGAGTTATGATCTTTGATAGGAAAGATGGCGACACACTGTGGCGCAAAAGGGAAATTGCAATATCTTGTCTATTAGAACCTTTTGCTTTATGTGTTGTCGAGGAATCACTGGGTTGCTGTGAGTTTTCTGGGCTGTATGGCCATGTTCCAGAAGCATTCTCTTCTGACGTTTCACCCACATCTATAACAGGCATCGTCAGAGATTCATCTGGCAACTGAAGGGATCTTATTTGAAGGTAAGTGGGTTAGATGATGGGTATAAGACTAGAAATTGAGGTTGATCAAACTGGAAACTAAATTGATGAGAGATGTCATAAAAATGTTTCAAAAATTGAAATTAAAGATTATTTAAGGATAGAAACTACAGTTAAAACAGACTGAAGAGTGATTCAGAAGAACTGAAATTGCATTTGAAGGAAAGGAACTGCAGTCTCTGCAGGAGAAAAGGAAGGAAGAGCCACTGCAAACAATGACTGAGATGGGGAGGAAATGGGAGACTTTTTAAATTTAAAAGTTTTAATAAAGAATAAATTCTTTGTGTGGTTTAAAAAATGAATTGACTACTATATGTATATGAAAGGAGTTGCCCCAAAGAGGAAGATTAGGTAAAAAGGTAAAAGTTGTCCCCTGACATTAAGTCCAGTCATGTCTGACTCTGGGGGTTGGTGCTCATCTCCATTTCTAAGCCGAAGAGCCGGCTTTGTCCATAGACACCTCCAAGGTCATGTGGCCAGCATGACTGCATGGAGGGCTGTTACCTTCCTACCGGAGCGGTACCTATTGATCTACTCACATTTGCATGTTTTCAAACTGCTAGGTTGGCAGAAGCTAGGGCTGAGGAAGATTAGACTGCCGAGGAAGATTAGACTGGCTATAAGAGCCAAGATTTGGCTGATTCCCAAACTTATAAAACTCACTCCAGAAAACACATAGTTTTCAGAACACTGCAATCAACAAGCCAACCTATACTCATCTTCATACTAGAATTATATTAAAATTTTGGTAAATACTGGTAGCACCTGGTTTTAAAAAATTAGTCTAGGAAATCAACAACTGAATATGATGATATGATGAGCATATGGATGATAGATCCAGTGGAGATCACTGAGAAAAAAACATAGCTACTGTCAGGTTCACTAGATGATCCCATGGTACAGTTGACATTCTTGGGTAGGGAATGAAACATTGCAGGTTTATGGCTATTTTTCATGCCAGCTCTTGCTGTTCCAGAAAAATCATCTTATAAAAACTTATAAAAGCTGGATGCATCTTATAAAAACTGGATACAGAATAATCCAAGCTAGATTGGCAATATAACAACAACAACAGGCTATATCTACCTTCTGATATCTGCTGCTGCCGAGATTTCAGAGTCATCTCTGGAATGGCCCTGCGAAAGCATTTCTGCTGCAGATTGTCCTTTCTTTGAGACAAATTCTTCACAGAGCCCCAGCTCTCGAAGTGTATCAGAGTAAAGCTTCTCTGCTGCTATCCGTGCATTTTTCTACATTTAAGGAAGGAGGAAAGAGTAACAAAATTAAAACAACAGCAAACATTTCCAAGTTCAAATATAGGCCCCTTCAATACAGCTGGGGGGGGGGGGAATCCCACATTATCTGCTTTGAACTGGAATATTTGGCAGTGTGAACCCAGATAACCCAGTTCAAAGCAGATATTGTGGGATTTTCTGCTTGATATTCTGGGTTTTATTACTGTATGGAAGGGTCCATAGTTTATAAGGATATAGCAGTCCATATTTAGTTCTGTAGTTGGCAAACATCCCTTATGTCAGTACACAAAAGATACATAAGATATCCCGTAATTGAAAAAATACTAGATCGGATAGCATATTGTTTAAATTGTGGCATTTTCCCACAGGGTTGGAAAGTATTACCCATGAGATGATATCGTGTCAGATGTTGCACCTAGATCTTACTTCTATACACAGACAGTAAAAGCAACTGTAGTCCCATGTTGGGGGGGGGGTTGATATTCTGTCCCCCTAAGATAATATCCTTAAGGATAAAAGGGTATGACAGAATTTACATAACTACATTTCTTCAAATAATAACAATTGGATGGGGAAGTATCTCCCAAATGTCTGAGACCTGTGTCTTTATGGGGACATTACTGTGCAACACAATAAGCAGAAAGGCAGTAATCATTTCTGGTGAGAAATACATCTGGTAACTGACAGGAAGCTGATATATTGACAGGGGAAGTGCATAAATTATAAACCATCTCAAGAACAATCCTTGAACACAAGACAAAGGAAAAGCAGAAATCCCAATAATGACGATACATTCAGCAAAGAGATGAATAGGACAATAACCTGTGTAGCTTGTTCCAACAACAATGGTCTCTTTTCCACCCTCTCTTCCATTTCTTCCAGTTCACGTAGATATTCTTTCATTCTCTGCTTTTCATGTTTCCTGTTTTTTAACATACCATGACATGGAAATGGTATGGAATTTAAATGTGAGGTTTTTAAAAACAAAATAAAAAATGGAAGGGGCAATTCTAGACTATGTTACTAGCTATGACGGCCTGATACTATGCTAAAGGCTTTGAATCTAAAAGTTCAAGACCTAGGAGATACACTGCGGGATACCTGAATATTTTTAACTTTGACTTATAGATCTGAGCGAGGCTCTGATGTGGATCATTTGCTTCAGCCCGAGTGCTTATAAGTCTCTGTAGTTCTCTTGCTCTTTGTTTCTGCTTTGCTCTCCTCCTTTTCTGCTCTTCTTCCTTCCTCTGTTTTTCCTCAGCTGAGTCCCTGAATGAGAAAACAAAGTAAAGCTAAACAAATTGAAATCTGGCAAAACTTCCTTAAGAATTTCTTAAGGACATGGTCAGATGGATCTAAAAATAACATATGTTGTAATCATCAACTGTAAGCATATATTGTGATGGCTTCTTCGTCTAATTAAATAATACAGTCAACCGTGCATTGTGAAAGATGAATATGCTCTCATTCTTTCTCTCTCAAACATTATGAAGATTTGTTTCCATATATTTGTCCATATATAAATACTGACATCTATATAAATAAAAATGTAATGCTAGTTTGTGGGATTAACATAACTCAAAAACCACTGGATGAATTGACACCAAATTTGGACACAAGACACCTATCAGGCTAACGAGTAACCATCACTCATAAAACACTGAAAAACACAGTGGAATGGACTTAAAAAGTCAAAAAGACACTACAGCACATGTGCAAAAATGACTCTCCTGGCAAACAAAACATGCAATAGTGTATCCACACTCTCTTCTGGACTACAGCTCCCAGCATCCCCTAGACCAGGCCCTTTAGGAGAGGAGGATGATCCAAATGCACTGCTTCCAAGCTGCAAGCTTTCTTCTCCTTGGATTTCTTTGAGAGCATCCCAATCCTGCATATTTCCAATTTCCTATTCCTGGACTGCAACTCCCAGCAATCCTCCAGATAGAGAGATCCGATAGAGATAGATAGGTAGGTAGGTAGATAGATTGATCAGGAGAAAGAGGGAGGAAGAAGGAGTGAAGGAAGGAAAAAGGAGGAAGGAGAGAAAAAGAAGAGAAAGAAGAAGAGAAGAAAGAGAAAGAAAGAAGAGGAAGAGGAAGGAGAAAGGAAAGGAGGGAGGAGGAGAGAAGAAAGAGAAGAGGAGAAGAGGAGAGAAAAGAAGAGAAGAGAAGAGGAGAAGAGAAAGGAGAGGAAGAGAGAGAGAAGGAAAGAAGAAAAAAGAAGAAAGAAAGAAAGAAGAAAGAAAGAAAAGAAAGAGGAAAAGGAAGGAAGGAAGGAAGGAGAAAGGGAGAAAAGGGAAAGGAAGGAAGAAGGAAGAGAAGGAAGGGAAAGGAGGAGAAAGAGAAGAACAGAAAGAAAGAAAGAAGAAAGAAAGAAAGAAAGGAAAGAAAGGGAAGGAAGGGAAAGAAAGAAAGAAAGAAAGAAGAGAAAGAGGGAGGGAAGGTTGGCCACAGTAACACGAGGCAGGTACAGCTAGTTCATTCTATATACAAAAAAGCGATGTAAACCTGATGAGTTTGCAACATCTGTACTATGTCATGATTATAGGTTTGACAGTTCCTAGTAGGACCTACCATTTTTATTGAAGGTGTGTGGAACCATGACTTTGAATTCGGATTCCATGATTATAGGATAGTCTCATAACAGCCCCAGATACAAGTAATGGTAGTAAATATCCATATACATAATAAAAGTGAAAATATGTATGTGTATATGTGGCTGGAATGTCCACTTACACAGACAAGCTCCTGCCTCCACAAACAGCTATAGCTCCCACTATTCAGGAGACACCAATCTCCCTCCCTCCAATGACACTGCAAGTTATAATGAGCGCCATGAACACGTGCAAGAGCTCTGCCAATGTCCTCCACAAACACAATCCTGGCCACCTCCCAAGTGAAGGCTTTCATCCTAGTTTTTATGTGTTTCCTCCACCACAGACATCCCAGTGTTTCTTACTCTTTCCATTGGTGTGGAATTTGCATGACCCCGCTCACTACCTCTCTTTTTATCTTTTCCTATTCTTGCTCAGCAACTGAACATACTAGAGAGATTTGGGGAGAGTTCACCATGATTTATAGGAGTTATAGGTCCTGGGATGTATAATTCACATGCAATCTAAAAGCACTCTGAACTCCACAAAGAATGGACCTGGAACTAACTTGGCACACAGAATCTCCATGACCAAGAGGTTTTTGGAGGGATTTATAGGAGTTGTAGTTCACCTACATTGAGAGCGTATTATGAACCCAAACAATGATGGATCTGGACCAAACCTGACATGCATTCTTGATATGTCTTTTTTTTTTTTTTTTTTACTGGAGGGCTTTAGGGGAATTGACCTTCCTTCCTGGGAGTTGTAGTTCACCCACAACCAGAGAAACTGTGACTTCCACCGATGATGGACCTGGACCAAACTTGGCACACAGAACCCCCATGACTAACTCAACCTTCTAGAGCAGTGGTTCTCAACCTGGGGTCCCCAGATGTTTTTGGCCTACAACTCCCAGAAATCCCAGCCAGTTTACCAGCTGTTAGGATTTCTGGGAGTTGAAGGCCAAAAACATCTGGGGACCCCAGGTTGAGAACCACTGTTCTAGAGGGGTTTGAAGGGACTGACTCACCATAGTGGGAGCTGCAGTTTGCCCTATAGCCAGAGAGCATACTGAGCCCCACCGATGATGCATCCAGAGCAAACTTGCCCAACATAACAAACTGTAAGTACTGGTGGAGTTTTTTGGAGTTTACCTGGCATGATGTGAGTTGTAGTTCACCCACAACCATGTGCATTTTGTACAATTAAAAATTGACTTTTTGAAAAATAACTCTGGCAATGCCAGGTACCCAAGCTGGTTTACTATATAAATAAGCAAAACCAATATTGAGTATGTTATCCTAGCAACATGCTTTTACTTACAAAAAAGTAATTTGGGATTAATTTATAACAACTGCAGCACTCCAGGTCCATGAATGGCTCACCTAATGGCTTGTAATCGTCGTCTTGTAGATTCTGTAATTCTTGGTGATATGGGTTCTTCAGAATCTAAAGGATTCCTCATTTGAGGACTGCATCTTGAAGAAGCATAAGGCCAACGTGTCTCCTTTAATTTTTCCTCATCCATTTGGATATCCTCAAGAATCTTCTTTTTGTTGGAAGGGATATTAGCAGTACGGAGACTGAAAGGTTCACAGACTGTGATGGGTTTCACACGCTTCTGTCTCTGAAGCTGTTTCTGGAATTTTTTATGTAATATTTCAAAATCCGGGACCTGGGTTTTGCATCTTGGTTTACATTGCAGTCTTTCCTTATGCTCAAGGCAGCATTGCTTCCTATGCTTATTGGGACCTTTATGTCCTAATCTGTGACTGGGAAGAGTTGAATTACACAGAAGCTCTTCAGATCTCATCTGTATTCTAATTTCTCTATAAAGTTCTTCTTCCTTGAGCTTCTCATTGACTTCTGAACTGTAAATACATTTCGGAACTGGCTTTGCTTTGAATGTTCTTGTCTTTTCGGGCAAGGAAAGGTCCTTCAACTGCACTTTTTTCAGTTCTTTCTTTTGTGCTTCTCTTTCAATAAACTTGAAAGGCTTTTGCATACCTAAAAGAATCTCTCTCCTACTTTTTCTAAGTGACTTCCTACGTTCTTCGTTTTGCTGCATTATTTCATGATACAAAGGGACAAAAACATAACCAGGCACTGGATTGGCACGGAATTTCTTCTGACACTCTGTTTCTTCCTCCAATTGTTTTTTTAGCAAATTATTTTCTAGTTCAATCAATGACTTTGATTTTATGTTGTGTTGTTTTTTCTTAGCTTCTCGAATAGTCATCTGGAAAGGCTGGGGTACTGTGATCTTTGGGGACCATCTCTTCTTTTTCTTCTTCTTAGGCTTTCTCAAAGTTTGTAACAGGGATGAAATACTTTTAGTGCGGTGAGAATAATCCTCTGGTGAAAACCTATCACATGCACTTTCAATTTGCTCCTTTTGAAATGTGAGCAATTCTTCTTCACTGTCATCTTCATCTAAATATAATTCTTCATCAGATGTATCAGATACATTTGAATGGAAATAATTGTTTAAATCAGGGTCAGAAAATGATGTGGGTATCTTCTGAGGATGAAATGAGTTCTTCCCATATGCTGATCTAAAGACAACAAAAATATTAGTTTGTTTTCTCGATGCTTCAATACACAACTATGTATTTACTCGAGTATAAGCCAACCCGAATATAAGCCGAGGCACCTAACTTTACCACAAAAAAACTGGGAAACCATATTGACTCGAGTATAAACTGAGGGTGGGAAATGAAGCAGCTACTGTTAAATTTCAAAATAAAATATATACCAATAACATTACATTTATTGAGGCATCGGTAGGTTAAATGTTTATGAATATTTAAATAAAACTGTAATTTAAGGTAAGACTGTCCAACTCTGATTAAACCCTTATTCTAACCTTCTTCAATGTAAATGTGCTTATGTATTCTTCCAAAAATAAAGTGTAAAATAATAAACTTAATAAAAATAATAATACTAGAGTAAAATAATAAATGTAATAATAATAATAGATGGAGTAAAATAATAAATGTAATAAAAATAATAATAGAAACAGAAAAATGTCAATATAATAATACTAAATAGAGTAAATTAATAAATGTAATAATAATAATAATAATAATAACAGAGTAAAATAATAAATAATTTTGACTCGAGTATAAGCCAAGGGGGGCTTTTTCAGCCTAAAAAAGAAGCTGAAAAACTTGGCTTATACACAAGTATATATGTTATACTCTGGTTTCCCTTCAGATCATATAAATCTTTTGCCTTTTTCTAAAACACAACAGGATTAAAGGGGGGGGGGGGAGAGTGGAACCTCCTGCTGTGCTGAACAAGAGAATGGCAGAGAACCTACAGAAGATGGTTCAAATCTACATAGTCCTGTTAGTAAAGTATATCAGACTATCTATTTGAGCTCTTCAACCTTCCTTACTGAAAGTCTGAGAAACACCAGTACAAAAATTAAGCACAGCCATCCACTTCAGAAAGAAGCAATGACTTTATAGAGGTTACTCAATCCAGTAGCGTTTCCTGTGAGGAATTCCTTTGAGTCTTAAAAGCACAAGGGATCTTGGCCTGAACATATCTGAACAAAATACACAGTTTTGGGGAGAGGGGGTTATAGATATCAGGGTTTGGTATTTGTATTCTTAGGTAAAATCCAGAATAAAGCAAGAGGAAAATGTACTAATGTTAGATTAGTAACACTAAATTACACCAGTCGCAAATTAGTAAAATCCCATAGACTCAGAATGTGGAGATGACATATAAAGGAAAATTCAAGATTTTTCTTAGTTTTGAAAAAAAAAAGTCCTTATTTATCTTCTCTCTTTGCACTGAAAACATTTAAATAGGAATAACATTTTGCTGCGGTTATCAATTTGCAGATTCATTAATAATATGCCTGCAGTGATCACTATATTTAAATGAATAAAAACAAAGAGGTAAGTCTAGAGCTTTTTTTTTTTACACTGTACCTGTAACTCGTACTATTGGCCATATCTGTGTTGGTTAAAGGCTCAACTCCTTTCAGATACAGTTTATTCTGATACATGTTTTCCAGTTTCGCCATGGTCTCCAGATGCGCATTCTTAAGTTCTTCCAGCTTTAAGTAATATTCTTGGTTTGAAATATACATTTTGGAGATGTCTGCCCAGTCTTGGCAATCAGCATGGACATCAGAACTCTGTTCTCTCTCAGGATGCAGGTGATTCTAAAAATACACAATTATCATGTTTTTTGTATGACAAAATTAGTTTGACACTTGATGCTATAAGGCCAGCTATAAAATTCTCTGTGTGTTTCAGTGTTTGAGCTTGCAGGAAATAAGGTACATTAATTTGTGTAAACTTAGCAAACAGAATTTACATAAGTTTTGATAGAACAAAAAATAACAAGTTGCTCCAAGTCAGCACAGCCCACTTCTTACAGCATATATATCTAAAATAAAGCCCCACTTTTTGCTGAATATGGACATTATGAACACTGGGTGACTATGGATCAGTCACTCTCACTGTCAGCCCCTGGGGAAAGGGTGTCCCAAAAGTCTCCATACTTCGGTCAAATCGGAAATTACAAAATTTTACAAAATATAAAATAATATAAATTATGAGTTTGTTAATTTGTCCTATGCATGGAGACTGTTAGGACACACTGTACTTCGTAAATAATCACATGTCAAGGATGACTGAAACACTGCTTTGTTTAGCTGCGCATAATCTTGTTTCAGCTCTTTTTGTGTAAAGCTCCTTAAGAGATATAGACAAACTTGCTCTAATGAACCCATCTGGCATCTATCTTTCTAAACAAAAACAGTGTTTATTCTATTTCTGTTATCCGAATTAACAGAAACATTACTTGTGATAATGTTTTTACTAAATACTGAAAAATCAAACAATCCTCAGAGAAAATTAACAAGTACTTTTATGTTTTTCTTGCTGTTTCAAAACTTGCAGTCTTTCTGCAGACTGCTAACGTAAAATGCAAACTGCTATTCTTATAATGATGAAATACAACTTACAAAAGTAAATGTTAATTCCAACCTTCTATGCTCAAGTCAAAGCTACCGGACAACATTTTTAATTTAAATTAAAAAAATTTAAAAAATATATTTTGCTATATTTTTAAAATATTTTAAAAAGAACTTAGGTCAAGATATACAATTTCTAATTACTGTATATACTTGAGTATAAGCCTAGTTTTTCAGTCCTTTTTTTAGGCTGAAAAAGTCTACCCCGGCTTATATTCGAGTCAATGTTATTTATTATTTTACTCTATTGTTGTTGTTGTTGTTATATTATTATTATTATTATTATTATTATTATTATTATTATTATTATTACATTTATTATTTTATTATTGTTATTATTACATTTATTATTTTACTCTATTTATGATTGTTATTGTTACATTTGTTATTTTACTCTATTATTATTATTATTATTTTACTCTATTATTATTGGAGGACATGTAAGCATATTTACATTGAAGAAGGTTAGAATAATGGTTTAATCAGAGCTGGACAGTCTTATCTTGAATTACAGTTTTATGTAAATATTCAAAAACATTTAACCTACTGATGCCTAAATTAATATAATTTTATTGGTATCTATCTTTATTTTGAAATTTACCAGTAGCTGCTGCATTTCCCAGCCTCGGCTTATATTTGAGTCAATCCATTTTCCCAGTTTTTTGTGGTAAAATTAGGTGCCTCGGCTTATATTCGGGTCGGCTTATACTCGAGTATATACGGTATATTCTGTAAATATATAGCAGTCAATGAAAGCTGAGAGACAATCTCATCAGTCCTACTCTACAGGTGATGTACCCTATACGGTTCCGGCCCAGTGTATTTGTCCGAACGGATCTCCCTCTATGTCCCACCTCGGAGTTTAAGATCTTCTGGGGAGGCCCTGCTCTCGACCCCGCCGCTGTCACAAGTGAGGTTGGCGGGGACGAGGAGCAGGGCCTTCTCGGTGGTGGCCCCTCACCTGTGGAATTCACTCCCCGGGGAGATTAGATCAGCGACCTCCCTTTTGTCGTTCAGAAAAAAATTGAAGACCTGGATTTGGGACCAAGCTTTTGGACACTCTGGCAGCTAAAGGAAAGACCCGACGATAAACAGGAACTGACGGAACGGAATGGATGTACGGAACTCTGAACACTGAGCATGAGATTGTTTACTATGTATTGATGTTTTTAATCTGTTAATTGTTTAAATTGCTTTTATGTATGTTTGTATAACTGATATAGGCATTGTACTGTGCCTTCGTCTGTAAGCCGCCCTGAGTCCCCCTTCGGGGGTGAGAAGGGCGGGGTAGAAGTAACTGAAATAAATAAATACATAAATAAATAAAATACAGAGGCTCTTTCATTGTTTCTCAAAGACTCGCAAGACAGAAAAGGTCAATGAATACAACATTAGGAAGATGGATGAGATCAGAGCATGGACATGAATGCAGAATATTAATGCTGAAGATTCCTTTTCTGACAAACTAAAATTAATCGGAAAACAATTCAACATTGATTAGATGAAAAGTAAAATCTATAACTCTGAATATAAATATGGTTATATTAAACAGTAACATGCTTCTAGTAAACAGAATATTTTAATAGAGGTTTTGATTATTTATTTAATTATTAAAACTAAGGGTTTCAGGACAGCAATTTCAATTACGATTTCAACCAGTTTGATCACAATTAAATCAACTGTCCCTAGTACATCAACACTGTACAAACCCAGGCCACACAGCTCTTATCAGGTTAAAAAAAGCATCAGCAGCTAAATGAATTCTGGTCTCTAAGCTCAGGCTTTTTTCTAGTTGTACAGCAGGGAATAAATGTGAACAAATGTGGTGTTCCTAAATTGCCAAATGTACAAGTAGGCTAGCAAAAGTTCAGTTATGAAATTGGAATATTTTCATGCCCTGTGTCTGATTTTTGAAGAGAAAAAAGACTGAAGGGGCAGCATTACATGGGACCTGCGGTTTATTTGTTTAGGTGGCATTATGATATAGATCCTACAGCAGAGCTTTCCAAACATTTCATATCGCTGACACACTTTTGAGACATGCATCATTTTGTGACACAGTGATTCAGTTTTATAGCAACCTGTAGGTTAAACCTTTTTATTGAAACTTTTTATTCAGGCAGGGTTTTTAAAAGGAAGGCTTTTAAGATCAAGTCAGAGGGTTGCTGTGGCTTTAGTTTTGAATACATGTTTATCCGTTTTAAGGATTTAAACTATTAATGTTTATTTCTATTTTAATGTTTGTATATTTTTGGATTTTAAAATGTATGGAAACACTTTCAAGGTCTCCTTTGAGTCTCCTTTGTGGAGAGGAAAAAGTGGGGTATAAATAAACATCATCATCATTATCATGCATCTTCTTAAAAGAGATACACACATATATAAATTTTAATAACGAAATGTATGAGGACACAACTTATCTCATGAAATTCCTTTTATATAGTGTGTGTGTGTTTAAAATATATGATTTATTGCTTATTTCACAGAGACTCATAGCACACTACAGCTGAAAAAGTAGGCAAAGAATCTGCATCTCGTCTGAAATCCTGTGTCAGCTTCCTGTTGAATCAGGGGCTTCAGGGGACTCATATGTGTTCCCCGTAGGTCCACGTCATTGTTGACATTTATATATTGACTTGAAGAACTCTCTACTGTGGTAAATTGACTATTCAAGGATTTCTACACTTGTATCAACTACCACCTGAGGAAGACGCCACATAGTCGAAACCGGTTGTGGTTTATGAACTGTGGACTTCAAAAAAGGGCTGACAAACCTTGATTTGCTGCTGACAAACATTGTTTTTAAAAAGGACTGATAAACTTGTACATTCTGCTGTAGGAATCAGCTGTTTATCCCACATTAAGAAGTTTTTGATTCAGAGACTTGCAAAAAAGGTCTTTAAAAGTTTGATTGGTTGTTTCTAAACTTGTGATTTTCAAAAAGGACTGATAAACTTGTGCATTTCACTGTAGGAATCAAGTATTTATCCCACATAAAGGAATTTTTTGTTTAGAGATTTGCATTGTGTATCTCGGTTAAGTATACTTTGTACAAGCTGTTAGTACATTGAATGTTGTAGTATTACAGCACAGATCTAATGTACATTCTCACGATTATATAACTGCATTACTTTTTGTGTATAGTGGCCTTTTGCCCTTGTGCTTCAGGCGAGCCCCCGATGGCACAGTGGGTTAAACCCTTGTGCCAGCAGGACTGAAGACCGACAGATAGCAGGTTCGAATCCAGGGAGAGCACAGATGAGCTCCCTGTCAGCTCCAGCTCCTCATGTGGGGACATGAGAGAAGCCTTCCACATGGATGGTTAAACTCAAAAACATCCAGGTGTCCCCTGGGCAACGTCCTTGCAGATGGTCAATTCTCTCACACCAGAAGTGACTTGCAGTTTCTCAAGTCGCCCCTGACATTAAAAAAAATGGGGCTTCAGGGGGGTTTGGGGGGGGGGAACTTTAAAATGCTGTCAGAGGGGCACTGTGTCTCCCTAAACTACAAGCCTCAAAATCCTTCAGAAGGCAGCCACAGGATTTCAGATAGGATGCAGACTCTTTGCCTACTTTTTCAGCTCTAGTATGATACTGGGTTGTTATAGGTTTTTCAGGCTATATGGCCATGTTGTAGAAGCATTCTCTCCTGACGTTTTGCCTGCATCTATGGCAGGCATCCTCAGAGGTTGAGAGGTTTAGTGTGATACTTTGAGACTTTGAACAGAACAAGTGGGGCATAGGAGCGAAATTCAATGTAGAATATGCTGTAGCTGGAAAGAATAAACTGCAGGTGAAGATGTGTAAGTAGATGCAGAACCTGTGATTAATGGGGCTCTATGGCAGTGGTTCTCAACTTTTAAACAGAGGCTGGGTAGCCATCTGTCAGGGGAACTTTGGGGTTTTTACTGCATGGCAGGGGGTTGGACTAGGTGGCCCAGGAAGTCTCTTCCAACTCTATTATTTCCATTGCTGTTCCTCGCTAAAGGGATAGGGACAGAAAATAAGTAAACAAGGAAGACGTGTACTTTCTGGTGAGATTCCCAAGATGCAGTAATCCAGACATCTCATCTGGATTACTGTAACACACAGTACATGGGGCTGCCTCTGAAGAGTGCTCAGAAACTTCAGCTGGTTCAAAGAGCTGCAGCCAGCTTGCTGACTGCGTTTGGCTACAGGTAGCGGACAACCTGCCTGTTGCAGCAGTTCTACTGGCTGCCAGTCTGCTTCCGGGCACAATTCAAAGTGCTGGTTATGACTTTTAAAGCCCTAGATCAATGGTTCTCAACCTGGGGTCCCCAGATGTTTTTGGCCTACAACTCCCAGAAATCCCAGCCAGTTTACCAGCTGTTAGGATTTCTGGGAGTTGAAGGCCAAAAACATCTGGGGACCCCAGGCTGAGAACCACTGATCTATGGGATTGTGAGTTAGGCTCACTTTGGGTTGTAGGTTTTTCAGGCTATATGGCCATGCTCTAGAAGTATTCTCTCCTGACGTTTTGCCTGCATCTATGGCAGGCATCAGGCAAAACGTCAGGAGAGAATGCTTCTAGAACATGGCCATATAGCCCGAAAAACCTACAACAACCCAGTGATTCCAGCCATGGAAGCCTTCGACAATACATAGACTCACATTTCCACTACTTGAAAGTATCCTATGATCAATACAATTATTTCAGGTGGGATGAGACTCTTGGCCTAGTCTTTCAGCTCTAGTGGGGCAGGACGTGTGGGCCTCTCCTGGCTTCCCTCTGAGGCTGAGAGGGTGTGCTTCGAGGTACCCACCTGCGGCCAGGCTCCGTCCCCCCGCTCCCGCTCGTACAGCGCCGTGGGGGCCTTGGTGTGAGGGTCCACCGGCCTCCGGAGGCAGGACACAGCGAGGGAAGCGGCCCGGTGACCCGCATCCATCCCGCTCCCAGCGAGCGCGCGACTGAATGAAAGCCCTCGCTGGGTTGCCAAGGCGCCCGGCTTGGGACGCTACGGCATCTCTTAGGGAACACAACACCTTCGCTGACGGCCGCGCGGACAGGACTCTCCTGAGGGCGGGGCCTCCAGGACAATTGTGCGCACGCGCCGAAAAAAACCGCACGTCGCTCAATGACAGAACTAAACTACATTGACCTCCAGCTGGCCCCATTCATCCTCTGTTGTCCCACTTTCTTATCTCTCCTCCCAATTTCCCTCCCTCCTTCTTCAACTTATTGAAGCTGCTGCAGAATGAGTTCAAAGCCTTCTAGGTAGGCCCCCATAGCCCAGGATCTGGCCCCGAGTTTTCTGTTTATCCCAGATTATCTAGCAGTATGGACTCATATAATCCGGTTTAAAACGGAAAACCTGGGATCAGATCCTGGGATATAGTCCTGTTTGGAAATACCCCTAATTTGCCCCTTTTGACTCAGGAGGAGTGCAAACTCTTGCCCAACCAAAAGGGAAGCATGGATTATGCTGTGGAGCATACTCAGAAATAACCAGTGATTCCAGCCTTTAACAGTACATTTATGGTAAAGATGGCAAAGGTTCTTGAATGAGGGGAACCGAAGTCATTTTATTTGTTTAGGAAATATCTATGCCACCTTTCCCCAGGCAGACCCTAGGTCAGTGATGGGCAACCTTTTGAACTTGGTGTGTCAAAATTTGCCAAAAACCTGAGCATAACTTGGGTGGATTGTCACTTCAAGAAAAAAACCCATAATTTTGCAATATTTATAGGGGGTTTTTTTTGAGCTGACGGTTTTATGTTGCAAAGTTTTTAAGATGATGTAAACTGCCTAGGGCCGTGATGGTGAACCTATGACACGCGAGCCCCCAGTGGCGCAGTGGGTTAAAGCCCTGTGTTGGCAGGACTGAAGACCGACAGGTCACAGGTTCGAATCTGGGGAGAGGCGGATGAGCTCCCTCTATCAGCTCCAGCTCCTCATGTGGGGACATGAGAGAAGCCTCCCACACGGATGATAAAACATCAAATCATCCAGGCGTCCCCTGGGCAACGTCCTTGCAGACGGCCAATTCTCTCACGACTTGCAGTTTCTCAGGTTGCTCCTGACACGACAAAAAAAACACACGCATGGCTATTTTTGATGACACGCAGACACATGTGGCCACATACAGAGAAATACATCTTATAAGAGCCAATCTAATTCCATCCTTAAATTTGTAAAAGGCTCTCCAAATTTAACATATGCACGTTTGAGCATTGTCCACTCCATAACTCAGCATGGATTATACATTTTTCTTATTTAAACTATAAATATTGCAAAATTATGGTTTTTTTCTTGAAGTGACACTCCACCCAAGTTATGTTCAGGTTTTTGGCAAATTTTGACACACCAACCTCAAAAGGTTGCCCAGCACTGAGGGTCTGCCTGGGGAAAGGCGGCATAGATATTTCCTAAATAAATAAAATTACTTGTTTTCCCCTCATTCAAGAACCTTTGCTATCTTTACCATAAATGTATTGTTAAAGGCTGGAATCACTGGGTTGCTGTGATTTTCTTTCAGGCTGTATGGCCATGTTCCAGTAGTATTCTCTCCTGACGTTTTGCCTGCGTCTGTGGCTTATTTATTTTAAAAAAAATTATATTCCACCCTTCTCACCCCACAGGGGACCCAGGGCAGAGCACAACATATATACTGCAAGGATTCAATCTTCAGAGGTTCTGTTGGCAGTGAAGCGTGTGTGTGTGTGTGTGTCCCTGTTTCTTGCAGTTAACAAGATTTGTTATAAAGAATTTTTATTAAAAGTATTTGAGTAATATAATATGGAAACATCGAAAGAGTGAGAACAATATTGATAGAAAAGTTAAGAAAAAAAGAATTAAAAAAGAATTAAAAATAAAATAAAATTGACTTCCATTCCATCTTCTTGGTTATGTCTCTTCTTTACTTATACTCCTTATTTAAAGTCTTATAATTGTTTTAATTAGAGTCTCTGATACCTTTAAGATAGTCATGAAAAAGAACCCAATTTGTCCTTTTTAAGCCATTTCCCGTATTCTTCATCAATAAAAACGTCAGTTCATCCATGTCTTTAATTTCTCAGTTTATCCATCCACATTTCCAAAGTTGGAATTTGTTCTTGTTTCCACCCCTTCGCAAAAACAATTCTAGCGGCTGTCGTAAAGAGTTTATCTTCGTTTTCATTTAGTTGTAACTCTGAATCTGTGAAACCTAAGAAATAATATTCCGGGTTTTTTTATAAAACTTTTTTTTAAAAAATGTGTTTCATCATGAATTTTGGACCAAAACTTTGAAGTTATTTTGCAGGTCCACCACATATGATAAAAGGAGCCAACATGCCCATGGCACTTCCAGCATTTATCCGATAAATTTTTATACATATGGCCCAAGCTTGATTAGCTTTGAGTAGCTTTGCAACTGCAAAGCCAGTCGGTGAGGGTATCAACAGCGGTAGTCTGGTTGTTGTTGCTTGGAAGCATCCTTTGTTTGGGAGGTATTAACTGACACTTGGTTGTCTGCTGTCTGGAGTTCTCCTGCTTTCAAGTTGTATTCTTTATTTACTGTGTTGATTCTGGTGTTTTTAATACTGGTAATCAGAGTTTGTTCATGGTTTCCTCTGCATATTTGTGGATTTCAATGGCTTGTGGATTTCAAGTTACCATAAATATGCTATGTCACAGCTGTCCTGGTTTTCATCAGAAATGTTGGGACATAGCTGTGTATTGGTGGCAGTTGGTCACAAGTCTCAAAGCTTAGTAAGAGAAGATTCTGTGCTATTCAAAAATTGAGACTGAGTAGGGAAAATGAGTTACAGCCATTTCTCAGGACTGGGTGGCCAGAGGAGTCTTCCAGTACACTCCTGTATATTAAGAAATACATTCATATGCATTACAGAGCAACTACCTTTACTCCCACTGGCATGGATGAGGAGCAGGGATGTATGGTTATCATGATCCCATATGAGGGATTTGTGTGCTGTCTTACACTCTGTACTGTATTTTAGCATTAATTCCTGTAATTCAAAGGATCAGCAGCATTTGTACCGCATGATATTTAGGGTGGAGCTACTCTTTACTTCCTATTCACAAATAATCCATTAGTAGTACTCTGAATCCGTTTTAGCTTTGCTTACAGATATTACTACAAGCAACAAGTGTCCTGAAAAACCATCTGTGCATACCGTTTCTCCTGACAAGTTTGAAGAACCCTTATATGTGCCTCTGGGATACGTGATTCACCATTTAGATACCTGCATTTCACCACATAATAGTCACCATTACAAAAAATGGGCTTTTTTCATTGTGCAACAGTCGCCACCACATAATAATCACACACCTCTTTTTTCACCTTGCGTCTTAGAACAAAGGAGAGACAGCGGTACTAGGTTTGAACAATCTTTTCGCAGCCTCACTGCATCTAAATTTCTAGGTGTTACAAGACGTGACCAACACCTACTATTAAAAAGACATTGCCTTTAACTACCAATTTGGGATAAAAATGGTGTATGTCTTGTATTTTCTTCAGAATATTGTTCTTAACATATGGCAATCCTGTTCTTAGAAACTATTATTAGATTTATACGATACAACATTTAATTATACCTTCACTGAAATACATGCTAGATTTAAAAGTACCAATTGCTGACAGTTAACAGCTGACAGATACGGTTACAGCCCAAGACATGACATAAATAAAGCCCCACAAATTAAGTCTCACTAATTTCAAAGGATGTGAAATTGCCTAAGTCTATTCAGCCACAATAGTGGAGTTTAAAAATGGACATGGTCTGGCAAAGTGTAAAGCAGAGCTTTTGGTAATCAATGCAATGTGTGTTCAAGTATTTTGTTATATAAAAAATTAAAACAAAGCCTTTCAAATTTGAGGTTTTATTAATTTAAATTGACAAAAGTACGCCAGTGTAACTTGGAATTAAGCAGATGTCCAACACAGAGTTTGTGTGAAGACGTCATGTTCGAAACGTATGACATGTTGCTGACCTGTACTTTCCTTTCCTTTAGACCTTTCATCGAGTGTTTACCTGCAAAAAAAAAAAGAGATTATTGTATGACACTTCATCACTATATTACTTATCTAACTTTATCCAATATAATTTCCACTAATAATTACAATGCCTCTTTGAATCTTAGCTATTTCATCAGTTGTCATTAAACACTCAGCATTTCAACACTGATGCAAGGCAGAAACAGATCTGTGAAATGTAACAAAGTAAACATTTGAGAGAACATTTGTGAGTATTTAAACTATGCTTACCACATCGTCAATCTTCAGGATACTGCGGACGGTTTCTGTAGCCAGGGTCAGAGCACTGACAGATACCAACAACGGTTGGACAACCAACTCTTCAAGGATATTGGAAATTCCACCCTACAATGTAAGAACTGCCACTTTAGTTCGTTAGAAATAACAAGCAGAAAATCTATTGTCAATACTTATTTCTCAGTGGTCTCATTATGGAGTAGGAGAAGATGAAAAACAAATAAGTCCAAGTGCACAACCTATTAATAAGGTAGAGCATTTTTATACTGATTCCCCAAAACTGCAGTTGGAAGTTTTCAAGTTAAGTGAAGTTTTTTAAAGTATAAAATTTTGGTAACAAAAGATCTGGATTATATGCAACTATAGTATCTTAATCAGTTACAATTTAAAAGCTGTTGTGTTTCAGTTGGCATAAAAAAACTCGAGAACATCCATGTACTTGAGGCAAGTGCTCTTTAACTGTTTCCAAGCAAGATGCATATTTGTGAGAGGGGGCTAACAAATGAAAGGAAATACTAGGTCTCCTTTTTATTTAAAGGAAGGAGAAAAAGGATAAACACATTAGTAGTGTGATGTAAATTAACTTCAATACTTTTGAACTCTAAATAATATTTTCAAAAAAATCTGCATTTCAAGACCCATCAAGCCATTAAGAGAGGCAGGTAACATAACAAAACATATTACATTATTGTTGTTATTTTGCATAGACTTAAGCAAGGAATCAATTCCTGCTTCATTTGTTACAGAAGCCCAAGGCAAGTACGAGATAACATCAAATCTGGGATGCATTTTTCCCCAAAAATTGAGGCTCCA